AGCCTGGTCTACAGATATAGTTCCAGGACTGCAAGCTCTGCCTCTACCCCCACCACACATGCATGTGCGTGCGCACGTGCGCGCGCGCGCGCGCACACACACACACACACACACACACAAGCCAGGTTTGATAGTTTTAATCCTAGCACTGGAAATTTGGAGATAGGAGGATCCCTGGTACTCACTGGCTCTCAGCCTAGCCAGTGAAAGACCCTGTCTCAAAGGAGGTGGACAGCCTCTTCTGCGGGTGACATCATGAGTCTTCTTGTATCCATGTAGACAAACGGACACACATGCATAAGAGATATTTGGGGCTAGACATTTAATCCCAGCACCTAGAAGGCAGAAACAGGTAAACCTCTGAATTCAAGGTCAACCTGATGTATACAGTGAGTTCCAGGCCAGCCAGGACTAAAGGGCTAGATTGTGATGTTGTAGTAAGAGGGAAAAGAGCAAAGTGAGCTCATTCATTTGCATATCACTCCCTGTTTCTGCATGACAGCAACAAAGTTGAGTAGTTTTTATTCTTCTGCCTTTTGTAGATAACGGTATTAAAATATCTCATCTGGACTGTCATGGGGTAATTTTAACAGTAAAATATAGAACAGTGAACTAGTTAATAAAGAAATAGAATTTTTTTTCTTTTCAGAGTGCTGGTGACCGGGGCTGGGAAGATGGCTGAGTGGGTAAAGGCCTTTGCCACCAAGCCTGAAATGAGTTTGATCCCTGGATCCACCTGGTGGAAGGAGAAAATTGGTTCTGAGTTCCACAAGTGCTCCATGACATGTGCATACCCCTCCCGATAAATACATACAGACCTATATAGACAAAGTAGATTTCTAAAAAAGAAAACTGAGGAACATTTATCTGGGAAATAGTTACTAGGGTCTTTCTATGTCAGTTATCCATTCCCGTTGTAAGATAACCATGTGTTCTTTTATGTCTATACCAAGTCAAGCTGCTGTGCTTTCCAGGTAAGCCGTAACCGTTTCTTACATGATTCATGAAGTAATCTGAAAATATTACAACAAAATCATTAAAGTGCTGGTGATGGGACCCAGGGTCTGGAAAATGCTAGATAAAGTGTTAGCAATGAGCTACACCTTCCTGACCTTCAGTAGCAAATAATTAACGGCAGCTCCAGCATGGACCATAGTTCTGATCTTAAAAATGCAATCAAAATCTTAAAACCGCGAACAGGAATGCTGAGCGCAGTTGAAAACCATGTCTGCTGTGAGCAGGGAACTATGGGACTGAAGAGGCTCAGCAGCGCTTTCGTTGTTTGTAGTGAAAATCTAAGGGGCATAGAACAAAGTGAAGACCTTACGCCCAGTATCAGTGCATTGAGCCTTACCCGTACGTACATCCACACGTGCTTGAAACCTTTAAGAGAAATGTCTACATTTTTAAACTGTGTGTGCATGCACATGGACTTGCCGCTGCTTATGTGTGGAAGCCAGGGGACAACTTTCAGGAGTCAGTTCTCTTCCCACCATATGATTTCCAGGATCAAACCCAGGTCTCAGGTTGATGGCAAACACTCTTTCCTACTGAGCCATCTCAAAGGCTTGTTCTCGTGCGTGCGTGCGTGTGTGCATGCGTGCGTGCATGCATGTGTGTAATTCAATGACAGCAGAAATAAAGGATGAGTGTTTAGAATACAAAAGATCTACCAGAACTCAGTAAGAAGGAGACAATTTCCTCCACAGAAAAAGGGAAAACAGATGTGAAGCTGCACAGAGAAAGAAATCTAAGCAGCTAATAGCAATGAGAAGAGACTCATTTTCCTAAGAAATCGGGAACCTGCCAGATAAAATGACAGCACGTACCATTTTTGTCATCAGACAGGCCAGACTTAATTCATTCCAAAGTTTGGCAAAGATGAAGAAAGGAACTCACACATACCAATGGCCGCCTACAGGTTGCAGTGGTGCTTGTCTAGAGGACTGTTTGATAGTAGCCAGAAGGACTGAAGGTGATGGATACATCCCAAATTTCATAGTTGTGCTTTTTGATATTTGCTTTAGGTTAATTCTCCCATGTGCTAATTGTAGCATTGTTGAAACAGCACTCACCACCAGGAGACAAACTCGGCCGAGTGCATGCAGACTAGAGAAGTGATTGACAGCCCTGCACGCCAGCATGAATAAACCATGAACATACTGTTGAGGAGAAGCATTAAAGGGTGTGGATAGCATGCCCTTGTTTAACAAATGCAGCTATACATATGTATACAATGTTATGTCTCACAATTAAAAACAAATATGGCTAAGATCTAAGCATCTGTTAAGGCTGAGAGTAGGTAGGTGGGCGCTTGTTGTAGTAGTCTCTGTAATTTTCTAAGAATGTTTGAAATGTTTCTTAATTTAAAAATTGAGGGAAAAGGGCTCTGCTCTGTTGCTCAGTGGCAGAGAGCCTGTGTAGCAGTGAACAAGGCCCGGGGACAGCTTCAGGCTCACCAGGAGATCCTTTGGAAAGGACAAGAGTGACCTGGGGTTGCAGTGAAGCCTAGCTTAGCAGTGACCTTAGCCTGGCAGGTTAAGAATGACATGAGCGGAGAGGAAGATGGTGTGTTCTCTTAGGGCTTGCTTCTTATCTGAAGTTGGACGTGAGGTTATCTCCCGACTGAAGGCCACGGTGAAGAGCTGTTACAGAGTCAGAGCTTGCTGATCAAGGGGAGGAATGTCCAGGATGGAGTTGATCAGTAGGCTCAGGCAGGTGAGATAGGTTTGTTCAGCAAAGCTCAGCCACGGAGGATGGACAGGAGTAAGGCCACTGTTGTCAGTCAAGCTTGAGGTTTTACTTCCGGTCAGATAGTGAGAGTTGGAGTCAGGGTTGTGAATAGTTGAGGTGGCGGCCATGCATTCCAGAGTGGACAGAGGAACTGGAGAAGCTGGGATGATTGGTGAGCTGGGAGATCCTGGGCTTACTAGCTGCTTGCTGGGATGGTGCTTGGCAGCAGCAGGAACAAAGGTGGGGGAGGAATTGGAGTGTTTAGTTTCCTTAGAGCTGTGACCTCTGATTGTGACAGAGTCTAGTCATATCCTTGGAGGTAGATGACTTTGTAGACAGAATCACTGGGTCTAGAGGTCAAGGGTAGCTCTGGAAGTTGCCTAGTATGGTGGTGACTTCAGGCCTGGAGATGAGATAGGTTTGTGCTGGTTAATTTTGTCAACTTGACGCAAACTGCAGTCATCAGGAAAGAGGGAACCACAACTGAAAGATGCCTCTATCAGCTTGGCCTCTAGGCAAGTGTGCAGGGCATTTTCTGATTGACATTCATGTGGGAGGACCCAGCCTACTGTGGGCAGTGCCACCCCTGTGCAGGTAGACGTAGGGTATAATATAGAGGAGAGCTGGCTGTACTGGAGCCTGGAGAGCAAGCCGGTAAGCAGCACTTCTCCATGATCTCTGCTTTGTTTCCTGCCTCCGGGTTACTGCTGGAGTCCTACCCTGGCTAAGTAGACCAGGCTGGCCTGGCACTCAGAGATCTGTGACCTCTACATCCTGAATGCTAGAGTTTAAGGCATGGGCTACCACACTCTGCTCTGGTTCAAAGTCTAGTATAGGGCAGGGTTTGACTAGATGAAAACCTTGACAAACTGAGCTTCTTTTAAACATTATCACTATTTACATGTTATTTATTATTTGAGTAAGTGATGTGAACCTTGGGGAAGCGAGGTTTTTGGTTTTTTTGTTTGTTTGTTTTGTTTTTTGTTTTTTGTTTTTTTTTTGTTTTTCCAGACAGGGTTTCTCTGTGTAGCCCTGGCTGTCCTGGAACTCACTCTGTAGACCAGGCTGGCCTCCAACTCAGAAATCCACCTGCCTCTGCCTCCCAAGTGCTGGGATTAAAGGCATGTGCCACCACTGCCCGGCTAGGGAAGTGAGGTTTTAAAAAGTAGTTTGTGTTTTATTTATTTGCCATCATCTTATGTATGTGTGTGCCTGTGTACATGTGTGTGTGTGCATGTGTATGTGTACATGTGTGCAAGCAAGCATGTGTACATGCATGAGTGTGCATGCATGTGTGCATGTGCTTGTGTATGCATGTGTGTACATGTGTATGCATGTTTTTGTGTGTGTGTGTGTGTGTGTGTGTGTGTGTGTGTGAAGGTCAGAAGACAATTTGCCAGAAGATTCCTGGGGCTGGAACTCCATATATAGACAGAGGAAGCGATAGTGAAGCCTGTGCCACTGGTATTGAAGCCACTCTGAGAAGTGGATAGCAGCATGATACTTGTGACTGCTATACAGGAGAATGCAGGCAGTGTTTGTAGGGAATGGGAAAGCAGCCGTGCTCTATGTACTTACTCTGAGCTAGTCTAGAGACAAGGGGACCAGTGTGCTAGAATGCAGGTAGGGGCTGTGCAGAGCCTTGACTCTTCTTTATCTTAGGGAAATGTTCAAAAGTTCAGCTAAATCTTAAAACCTTAAAATAGCCAGGTGGTGGTGGCAGCACACACCTTCAATTCCAGCACTTGGGAGTCAAGAGTTTGAGACCAGCCTGGTCTAAATAGCAAATTCCATGACAACCAGGGCTACTACAGAGAAACCATCTCAAAATCCCCTCTCCCCTCAAAAAAACCCAAACAAACCCCAAAACCAAAAAGCAAACAAAAACACAAAACCACAACACAACCCCTTAAAATAGAATTCATTTTTAAAGCATGAGTTGTCTATACATGGTTTCTAAGTTACTGTGCAACTATGAAAATCAAACTTGGAAATGGGTTATTTTGATATAAATATTTGGTCTAAATTGAAGTGGTTAAGAGCACTGGTTGTTCTTCCAGAAGACCAGGGTCCAAGTCCCAGCACCCTCATGGGGTCTCACAGTTATCGGTAACTCCAGTCCTCAGGAACTGACGTCCTCTTCCGGCCATGTTGAGTACCGCACACACGAATGGTGCAAGAGAAAATGTTCACCCTCTTTTCATACATATAAACTTTCTTTAAAGTGCAAACCTTGTGATGCTGTGGAATGTTTCTTATCCCCACAGCACACTAGCCACCTCGGATGTCAGCAGGAGGAAGTGGCTGATTCCAGGAGCAGAGTACTCCATCTTTACTGGGCAGCCTCTGGACACCAGGGACAGGAAGACAGATAAGCAGCTGGAGGAAACCGATGTTCCCGGGTGAGCTAATGGCAGAGGTCAGCTGATGACGCTTCTGTAGAGATGCAGCTGGCTTGAGTAGAAGAAATAGTCAATGTAGACTGTGATGGGGGCGGGGAAGATGAGAAACGGTTCCTGTCTTGGGATTTCTGCCTTCTCTTTGAAGTTGAACTCGAGGTTCTTCCTGGATTGTGAAAGCCAGGATGGAGGGCTGGTGGAGAGTGGACAGGGTGTGAATCAACTGTCTTGCAGAGGTTGGGATTGCTAATTATGGAAAGGGGAGGTGTCCACTCAAGGTAGCGTTGACGAGTAGATGCAGTTGATGAGTAGATGCAGCAAAGTTCAGCTGTGAGCGTGTAGACAGGACGACTTGATTGCACACCTGATCCTCTGCTTTTCACTCCCATGTGCTGAGACTCCAGCAGGCGCCCCCACATCCACTGTTGATCTTTTACTGTCTTTATCTCTTAGAGCCTAATTTGTGTGGTTTGGTTTTGTTTTGTTTTTTGCTCACATCATAAGCTCTCTCAGCAGTGGCTCCATCGTCTCGGTTCTGAGAGGATAATGCTTTTAGGATGTTTCCCCTTCACAGGCTTTGCAGCCCTTCTCTGCCTGTGCTCAGGGGCACAGTGCAGGTTTGTGTTAGGACAACAGGATAATCCTTTCCCTCTTGGGATAGCCTGAGCAAGCTCAGCAATGCATTCTTGGTACTGTATAGATAGAAATGTTTGTATATGCTAGCTTGTTTAAAGGACCGTGAAGCGCTGGGCTGCTATGTGCAGGTTCAGTTTTAATTATCTCCATTTAATAGCACCCATATGGAGATAAGTGGTCAGCTCTCCTGTCACTCCTTGACGGTCTTCGTAAGCTTAGCGTGTTTTGCTATAACTGATGAGCATAGACTTAGATGCGTTTATGGATTTCTCAAATTTGGGAGCCAGCATGGCGGAGGTCTTAGAGAGGACCTTCCTCAGGCTGGGATTCACATGGTCTGTGTGTGGTGTGCACCAGACAGAGTGTTCTCTGTTTTCTCCTCTTTTCTCTCACTTTATATGTATTATTTTCATTTTTAATTTGTGTGTGTGTGTGTGTGTGTGTGTGTGTGTGTGTGTGACCATCCTCCTGCATCCGTCTGCTGAATACTGGGGTAACAGGCATGTGTGCACCGTCAACTCTGTCGTCCTCCTCTTTTTATAAGGACCTTCAATCCCATCATGGGGCTCCTCTCTCATGACCTGTCTAATCTGCATTTCTTGTTAGAGGCCCCAACTCTGAATACTTTGAGCTAAGCTAGGCTGCTGCTGTCTGGGCATTATGGGCTAGGGGCCATGCGGAGCTCAGCCCACAGCAGTTACAGTCGTAGCTCCTGTTTTAGATACCATTCTCCTCCAGAAAAGGACTCTTCACTTGGAAGGTCTCCAGCAAGCGTACTGATTCAGAAGAAGAGGGACGCTCCAGACACACCACCAATCATCAAGGCTTTAAAGGAACTTGATGAAGAAAGAATATTTAAAAATTGGGGGACACAGACAGAGAAGGAGGATTCCTCAAGTAGTAAGTATTTCTTTTTTAATTTTAAGATTGATTTTATTTTACGTCTGTGAGTGTTTTGCCTGCATATATGAGTGTGTACCACATGCAAACCTGGTGCCCATGGAGGTCTCAGATTTCCTGGAACCTGGGGTTGTGAATGTTTGCGAACCCCTGTTCAGGTGCTGAGAACTGAACCCAAGCCCTCTACAAGGACAGCAAGTACTCTTAATTGATGAGCCACCTCTCTAGACACTAGCCCCAAGAGTATTTCATTCCTTTTTTGATGTTGAAAGAAAGAAAAAGGTATCTGCTGTCTTCTTCAATTTATATTTATCACATTCTTTAATATTAGACTATCAACCAAGCATGGCACTGCACACCTTTAATCCCAGCCCTTTCGAGGCAGAGGCAGGAGTTTGAGGCCAGCCTAGTTTACATGATACGTGCCATGTCTGTCAGAGCCACAAAGTCAAACCCTCCCTAAAAAATAAGATTCTCAGATAATGAAATGAAGTCCTAATGTATGACATTGCTCCGGCCCCATTTCATAGGTAACTGACCTTTAATAATAATTTATCATTGTTCTAGCAGAGCACGTACCTTTTATATAAAGCAAGCTGCATATCATGTTCTGATTATTTAAGAGGCCTGCACTGAGATGGCTCAGTGGTTAACAGCGCTTGTTCTTGCAGAGGACCTGAGTTCAGTTCTCAGCACTGATGTGGTGGCTTACAACCATCTGTAAATTCTAGTTCCAGGGGCTCTTATGTCTCTAACTTCTGTAGGTGCCTGCAGTCATGTGCTCATACCCATATGCTGACATACACACCTACATATAATAATAATAATTACTACTACTACTGATAGTAATAATAATAACGTCTTCCTGAGCTGGGCCGCACAGGCATATAATCCAGTTCTGTGTGCTATATAAGAGGATTGAAATCACACCCTGCCTGGACTACTGAGTAAGTGTGTCTCCATCTGTGTGTCTTACTTGTACATGTTGGAAAATGGTGGTAGCCATTTTATATTAATAAAACAAATAAGGTGGGCAGTGGGGATACATGCCTATTTTTCCAGCACTTGGAGGCTGAGGCAGCAGAATCCAGAGTGTTCAAAAATATAGAAAAACAGATTTTTTTTTTTCATTTTTTTTTTTTTTCAAGATAGGGTTTCTCTGTGTAGCCCTGGCTGTCCTGGAACTCACTCTGTAGACCAGGCTGGCCTCGAACTCAGAAATCCGCCTGCCTCTGCCTCCCAAGTGCTGGGATTAAAGGTGTGCGCCACCACCGCCCGGCCTGTCCTATTTTTCTATCTGTAGATTCTGAACACATATCAATAGATTCATGTATACATGGTCTTTTAGGACTGGCTTCTGTCATTTAACATGATTTTTTTTTTTTTTTCTCTGTGTAGCCCTGGCTGTCCTGGAACTCACTCTGTAGACCAGGCTGGCCTCGAACTCAGAAATCCGCCTGCCTCTGCCTCCCAAGTGCTGGAATTAAAGGCGTGCGCCACCACTGCCTGGCTTAATTGTTTTTTCTTTTTCATGATTATTGAGTATCTATAGAGAGGAAGAGGACTATCTTTCAAGGTGTGCCGTCCCCCACGTGTGTAGGTCAGCAGTGCTCTCTTCCTCCTCCCTCTCTCCCTCCCTCCCTCTCTGTCTCTCCACCCTCCATCTTTTTCTCTCTGTTCTCCATCTCTCTTCCTGTTTGAGACAAGATCTCGTGGAACCAGACTAGCCTGGAACTCACGATGTTGCTGAGGGCCAACCTGGATTTCTGATCTCTTGCCTCCGCCTCCCCAGCGCTGGGCTCCCCTCACCAGGCCTGGCTCTTTTGCTCTCTGCACTTCTCAGACCTGCCAGGCACACCCTCGGCTCTGGGTGCTGCATCCCACAGCAGCATCTCCTAGTAAACACATTAGGAATCTGCTTCCTAACAATAAACTCTCTATGAGCACTCACCTTGAATGCTAGTTGCAACAGGAAGCCAGGGTGCATTCATTATAAACTCTTTCTCCAGCATTTTATCATCATGACGCAGTGCATTTGCAAATCGTTATTGTAGCCTGGATAGCAGTGCTTTGAGCAGAGCATGCACTCTGTGGAGGACCTTGTGCTTTGACAGCTGTGGAAAGCAGATGGTGGAAACCAGGTCTGGCATGGTTTTTTGTTTTTTGTTTTTTTGTTTTTTTTTTATGTGTTTGTCTGATGCAGAATTAGTGAATCCTCGGCAAACTGAGCCTTCAGTCAATACAGGTCGTTCTCCAGAGAAATGTGCCCAGCAGAGACCAAAGAGACAGAGTTCGGCTTCACAAAGGTCGTCATCTCTCCCACCCTCCAATCGGAAAGCCAGCACTCCAAGTAAGAGATGTGTGTGCCCTGGGCTAGGGAGAGTGACTTCCCGTCTGTTTCTACTGTTTCACTATGCTGTCGGCCTCAAAGTGTATGCTGAGCATGGGCGAGGTCCCTGAACACAGCCAGAGAATGAAATTGTCTGGGCATACAGATACTACCCATACCTTAAGAAACCTCATTACCTGCCAGGCCTGTAGTAGAGGTCTGTCATCCCAGCCACCTGGGAGGCTAAGGTTTAAGGTTCAGGGCCTCCCTGAGCTACCAAGTGAGTTCAAGGCTAGCCTTCAACTTAGCAAGCCCTGTCTTTAAAAGAAAACGTGAAAGGAAGGCTTGGGATGTAGCTCAGTGGTTGGCGCCCTGGCCTAGCATGGATGGGGTCCTCAGTATCGTAAGAAAAAGAAGTTGGTTCAGAAAAGCCAAACGCTTTTGAGAATTTAGATCACGTCGATAGCTGTTAAGCACTAATTGAGACAGTTTACGGAGGTCAGAGAAGATTCTTTTTACATATCTGCCCCTTACCTGGCGTCTGTAGCTTTTCCTCCCTATGGTTCCCAGCTTGCTCTAAAGCTTAAGCCTTGACTTTCCATGTCCTCAGTGTCTGTGTTCCCAGCCGCTCAGGGAAGCATATCTTTCCTGTGTTCCAGGAGCAATCTCTACTGCACTGGCGTTTCTGTCTTATTTCCACTCGACTTCTAAAATCTTGAAAAACCAGTTTTGAGCCAGAGTGCTGAGACTATAGTCTGGTATGCTAACACATCAGCAGGGGTTGCCTCTAGACCTTAGAATTATGGGTTGTTTGATTTTTACTTTGTGTCCTCGGCAATACTGTCAAGTTTTGCTGTGGAATTCCATTATTTGTAAAACTAGGAATAAGTTCTGCCAACATAATACAGACAAAAAATTGCATTTCTTCTTTACTTCCTTCTTTAGCAAAAAGAGAGATTATGTTAACGCCAGTGACTGTGGCTTATAGTCCTAAGCGGTCCCCTAAAGAAAACCTGTCCCCAGGATTTAGTCATCTCCTTAGCAAAAATGAAAGCAGTCCAGTTCGGTGAGTTCTGTGAAGTTATAGAATTAAAATACATTTTAAAAACATGTTATTGATGTGTGTGTGAGTCTGCATGTGTGTGCTTGTGTGAGCATGTTTGTGCTTGTGTGTGTGTGTGTGTGCACCGTGGTGAATTTGTGTACATCAGATGACAACCATTGAGCTGGCTCTCTCCTTCCGTCATGTGGGTTTTGGGTATTGAACTCAGGACATCAGGTTTAAAGGCGGGTGCCTTTACCTCCTGAGCCATCTTCCTGGCCCCAGTGATGATTTTAAGCCATCAGTATGACTCCCACTGCTGCTGACTGTTCCATTGTCAGTGGGACCCTGTGGCTTTAGGTCCTTTATGTGAGTATCACATGGGAAATCAAGTATTGTAATGAGTGAAAATAGTTTTTAACTATGGAAACTTGCTATTGCTGGATCTATAGTGCTGCCTCAGCACCTCAGCAGAGTTTGCATAGAAGAGTTTCTCTGTGCTCCTGAGGAGGAGTGTGATATAGGGACATTTTGGCGCCAGAGAGTGGGTGTGAGTGATGAACTGGGAAGGACTTGACCACTGGATTCTAGGTGCATGGCCTAAGCACAGTGGCCCTTGTTTCCACCTCCTGAGCAGGCTGGGGCTTCTGCCTGCCCTGTCTGTTCCTGCTCTTGTCATGGAGGACAGGATGCACAGCAGCCAGCACTTTAAGTTTCTGATATAGGAATAGAGCTTTGTGTCGGGAAAGCCAGATTCAGTTTCAGCTTTGGAAGTCATATGACTAGCTTTCTTTTAAGAAAACATGTAGCTATGAGTTCACAGGGTGCCAGCTCAGCTCTCTAGAGAGATAGGAAAACTCACCTCACAGTTTTCTCACGAGTAACTTGCTTCATTCACTAGATTTGATATCCTTTTGGATGATTTAGATACTGTTCCTGTGTCCACGTTACAACAAAGCAATCCAAGGAAACAGCTCCAGTTTCTTCTGGATGACTCGGAAGGTATCTTTTCCTAAGAATTGCTAGTTACAGCTAGAGGCATTTGTTTCCCAAAGTCTGGTGTCTCTGTAAGTCTCTGAAGATGGTCTATACCTGAGCATTCACTATGTGCTTGCTGTATGGGTGATCATGGGCAGGTTGGGAAGCTGAGGTGCTGATTGTCACCACCAGACAGCTCTATACAGCTCCCTCTGTACAGTGTCACTGAAATACATTTGTAAGGTACATGAAGTCACTTCCTACAATAATGTTAAGTATTTCAGGGTTTAGAGCACGTCTCCCAAATGTGATAAATCATTGTTCTTAAATTGTTCTTAGTCTCCCAAATGTGATAAATCAGTGTTCTTAAATTGTTCTTAAACTGAGTTATATTTACATAAAGTTTGTTTGAAGTCATTAAGAGAACTTTGAAAAATTATTAAGCCGAGGGTAAGCCTTTTAGCATTCCCAAGCGATAAAGCAGAGTGCATATTATTCAGTTAGGGGTGGTTCACATCTTTTATCCTGGCCCTCGTGGCTGCAGCAGGAGAATTACTATGACTTCAAGGCCATTGTGAGCTACTTAATAAGTTCCAGGGTAGCCTGGATTAGCGTGAGCCTTGTCTCAAGAAACTGGGAGAGGAAGAAAGGAAAGATGCTTCTCTGTTCATTACGGTTTAGGCCGTATAGCACTTCCTTTCAGGAAGTGAGGCTGAGCTGGATATTTAATGTGTATTCAGTCTATTAGGAAAATTAATAAGAAACATAAGAAATTTCTTTCTTTTCTGACAGAAAAAAAGTATTCTGAAAAAAACAGTGATGACCCTGTTAATCCTAGCTCTTGTCCTGAGCACTCACCAAATGGATTGAAGAGAGTGTCCCCGAGACAAGCCTGGGAGAAGAGTAAATCAGTTAGCCTTGAGCAGTGGAAACCAGCATCAGCAACACCACAGGATAATGATTTTGAATATTCAGCAAAGATTAGGACCCTTGCTGAAACGGAGCGATTTTTTGATGAACTTACAAAAGAAAAAGACCAGGTAAGACAAATAAATATATTTTAAAATACTTAATTGTTTTTCTGAACCTAATGCTCATGTCTAGAGAATAGTCAGAAGGGAATTAATTACTAAGCTGAGCATGGCGACACATGCTTGTGCCTTAGCTCTTGAGCGGCTGAGGCAGAAAGATCACAAGCCGCGTGCCAAGTCAGCTTGGGCTGTATTGTGAGACCCTGTCTCCAAAAGAAACAGCAAACCAAACACACAAACACAAACTGCTAGCAGAAAAAAAAGTAAAAAATAAGAGTGCCCTAGTCACTGTCCTATTGCTGTGAAGAGACATGGTGTCCAAGGCAGCTCTTATAAAAAGAAAGCATTTAATTGGGGCTAGCTTATGGGTTCCGATGTAGTCGACCATTATCCTCCTGGCATGGAGCATGGTGCTGGAACAGACAGCAAGGAGAGCGGCTCTGGCCTTGGTATGGGCTTTTTTTTTTTTTTTTTTTAAGATTTATTTATTTTATGTATGAGTGCTCTAGCTGGATGTATACCTGTGTGCCAGAAGAGGGCATCAGATTCCATTATAGATGGTTGTGAGCCACCATCTGTAATGGACTTTTGAAACCGCAAAGCCCACCCTAGTAACACTTCCTCCCCTCCTTCAAGGCCACACTTCCTCATCCCCAAGACTAAGCATTCCGATATGTGAGCCTATGGGGACCATTCTTACTCAAACCTCCACAGAGGATAGCATTGGGTCAGACCTATTGTGGGGGATTTACCTTGTTATAGTACCCTGGGGCATCAGACTGCACTTGTTATAGTACCCTGGGACATCAAACTGCACTAGAAGTGTCCGTAAGCCACACTATTGAGGCAACTTAAGTCAAAATGGACAAGAAAATGCTAAGCTGAAATTTTCTTTCCTGTGTGTCTAAGAACGCTCACTGCCAGTAATTAGAATTCTTGTGTTTTTTATTTGAACAATTTCTCTTGTTGACAGATTGAGGCAGCACTAAGCCGAATGCCTTCTCCTGGAGGAAGAATCACTTTACAAACAAGACTAAATCAGGTGAGACAGCTTGGTGTGAGCTGCATTAGAGGCGGCTATGTGGCAGTGCTCCAGAGTCTTACAGCTTGGCCCACTGTGGTAGGTACTTTTCTAGTGCTGTGATACAACACCATAACCAGTGCAGCTTACAGAAGGGATAGTTTATTTTGGGTTACAGTTCCAGAGGGTTAGAGTCGTGTGAAGGCTGAGTGAAAGATAGATGGCTGAAACAGCAGCTGAGAGCTCACATCTTGACACCAGACAGGAAGTAGAGAGTACAGTGAGGATAGCAGGAAGCTGTCACAGTTTTGTGCCCCTACCTCCAACAAGGCCACGCCTCCTCCATCAAAGCCACGCTTCCTAATCCTTTCCAAACAGTTCCACCAACTGGAGACCAAGTATTCACATGTATGAGCCTATGGGAGCCATCTTATTCACACCACCACGGCTACTAATGCAGCAGTGAAAGCGGCTACCCCTTGTAGTCAGTATTTGATAGTTATCGTTAGTCCATAGCTACGTTTGCTGTCAGGAACAAAAATTTAATTTTTACCTTTAGACGTAAAAAATGGTGTTTGTTCATGGTAGCAAATAGCATATTGTTTGTTGTTTGTTTAGTAAGGCACTGGTAACAAAGCCCAGGGCCTTGGGCATGCTAGCAAGTTCCCCTCAGCCCAACAGATAGTCCATTGCTGAGTAAGTGCTGCCTCCTTGTCTGATTGCTTGTCTTCCTCCACTACCCTGTCAATGACTTCTGACCCTCTCCATCTAGCAAGCCCTGAAAACATTCATGCTTCACAAACAGAATGGCAGTCGTGATTGGAAAGACAGCTAGGAGCTGTGATTGCATACTTAGGAGCAGATGGTCAGTTTATGTGATGGGTTTGTCCGTGTGTTTATATGTGCACTATATCAGTGCCTGGTGTCTGTGGAGCTCAGTTCAATTCCCAGCACCTACATGGCATTGCTCTTATCCCCGAGCCATCTCTCTAGCTAAGGAGATTGCTTTTGAGAGCTTGTTTGGAAGTCCTGATGGGAAACTCAGCTGCTCATATAGCCTCCATAGAAGACTGGCCCTACTCTATTTATCTGCCCTCTTTGAGTAAATGTACAGCTTTGCAAGGATACATGCTTAACCAGCCAGATCATCCTCACATTCATGAAATTTAATTTTTAAAATTGATTTTACTTATTGGTGTGTGTGTGTGTGTGTGTGTGTGTGTGTGTATACGATGTGTGTATACGTTCATATTTCATGACACATATGCAGATGTCAAGTTTGTGGTGCTTCTTCTCTCTTTCCTTCTTTTCTTGGATCCCAGGGATCAGATCAGGCTGTGAGGGTTGACGGCAAGTAGTCTTAACCTGCCGAGCCCTCTCAGCATCATTTTATTGAATGATTCGTAAATTCAACATAGGAAACTCGTGGTACTTTACTAGGAAAGCAGAGGGAAATGTGGTGTTACTTCAATTCAACTTGTTATGAAATCCTTAGTGTGTTCTCCTTAATGAACATCAGTGTTTTGTTCTTACAAGATGTCTGAAAAGGTGTGTTAGATTCTCTTCACATATGTCATGTCACTGAGAAAGTGCCAGCAAGAAAGGGATTGAGGATGTGCGTGAGGGAAAGGGTCGAGCAGGGGCCCAGGGAGAGGCGCCCCGCCTCACTAGAGCAGTGCTGCTCTGGTAGTTACTAGTGCAGCGCAGGAGGGCTTTATCTCCAGCACCACTGATAAAGACACTCAGCCTGTTGTCAAGAGTCACACTGAAGCAGCGATGGCCGCTCAGCATATGTCATCCCTCCACTCAGCAGGCTGAGGCAGTGGGGTCCTAATTTGGAAGCCAGCCAAGGCTTAAGACCCTGTCTCAAAAAATAAGACAGGTTGGAGAAATAGCAGGTTGTTATTTGTCTACCATGTAAATCCCATCCTAGGCAACACGTGTGTACACACAAATACACACACACGCACACACACACACACAACTGGATATGGTGATGCACAAATGTGGCCTAGTGTTTGAGAGGTGGAGGCAGGATTCGAAATTCAAGATCATCATCAACCATGTATTGAATTCAAGGTCAGCATGGAATACTTCAGACTTGTCTCCATTATTATTATTATTATCATCATCATTATTATTATTATATATTTTTAATTAATTAAGTTTGTTTTTTCCAGAGTGGGTTTCTTTGTGTGGCTCAGGCTATTCTAGAACTCACTCTGTAGACCAGGCTGGCCTTGAACTCACAGAAATCTGTGTGCCTCTGCCTCTGGAGTGTTAGGACTAAAGGTATGTGCCACCACAGCTGGCTTTATTATTTTTAAAAATTATTTAATTATGTGTATGGGTGTTTTTCCTGCATGTATATCTGTATCCTACATGTGTGCCTGGTGCTCAAGGAGGCCAGAAGAGGGCACATACCCCCTGGGACTGGAGTTACAGCCTGTTGTGAACCAACATGTGGGTACTGGGAATCAAACTTGGGTCCTCTGCAAGAGCCGGAAGTCCTCTTGACTACTGAGCCGTCTCTCCATCCCCTACAGAGACTTCTGTTAATGAAAAGAGAGAAATATAAAATAACCTGCTAAGACAATTTTTTAAGGTCTTTTTTTTCTCCCTAGTTACATTAGTAGGTTTAGTTTTCAGCTTTTTTGAGATAGAGTCCTAGGCTGGCTCTGAGCTCCTCAGCTTCCTGCCTCCGCTTCACCAGCTCTGGAGTTAAAAGCATATACACCAAATGTTCAATTATCAGGTATTTTATTTTGTTTTTCAAGGCAATTCATCGACTGTAGACAATGCAAGTACAGATCGTCACAGACTTCCTGGAAGGCAGGAATCTGCCTTTCTTTAAACCAGAGTGCTTTTTCCCTGTCTTCTAGTGATCGCAAAGACAGTATTTATAGATACTGCAAAGAGATATGTTTAAGAAATGTACTGCAGCCTTATTTATAGTGTCCAAAATTAGAAGCGACCTAAACGTCTACGGAAAGATTCCTGGTTAAATGTGTTACTTGCAAAGGAATATTGTACATTAATTTAGGAGGATGTTGTCAGAAGACACTTTATAATATGCCAAGAAAGTTCAAAGGAAACAATATTTGAAACCTTCCATACTAGGTTTTCCCCTTCTAAAAAGGATGTGCACATACGTAAGAGAAACAGGGCAGAAGAGGACGGTCCTTCCCATTGGTCACCTCTCTTAGTCCTTTACAGCCAACATTCAATCGTTTTATTAAAACTGTTAAACATAACAAGGTTTATTTCAGGATACCATTTGAGTCCATATGGAATATATTATCTAGAATGGTAAATATATATTCCAGGCATCATTAGCTGCATTTCTTCATCGATTAATTGTTAAATTCCTTTTCCCGAAGTCTTTGATAACGTTTTTAAGGGAGAAGTGGTTGTCAGGTTATTTGGAATGTGTGTCCATGGCTACAGCCGTATCCAGTGTGCGCACTTCTCTGATGACCGGTGGAGAGCACATTTAGGTTCTGCACATACTGTCTCAGGTCGTCACCCCTTTCATGGCTGCACTGCTGTGCACAATTCCCATCTGGCAAGAGTGCCATGCAGACAGAGGATACTTAAACTGTCCTGCTTATTTGGAAGGGCTGAGAAGCCAATCCATTGTTCAGTTTGAGAAAAATAATGTTGGCTGGGTAGTGATGGTGCATGACTTATATTTTACCATTTTGGAGGCAGAGGCAGATGGATCTCTGTGATTTTGAGGCCTGCCTGGTCTACAGAGCTAGTTCTAGGACAGCCAAGGCCACACAGAGAAGCCCTGTCTCAAAAAACAAAACAAAATAAAACAAAACAAAACAAACAACCCATAAGACGATTTGTGTAGAAAGCAAACTGCTGTTTTCCTGTGTGCTTGCTTCCGTGCTGCAACCTGAAGTTGTGTAGAGGGCAGCTGTTGACTGTAGACCCACAGGGTTTGATGCGGGTTCTCATTACACCTGTTCTATTACTTTTACCTAGGAGGCCTTGGAAGATCGTTTGGAAAAGATCAATCGTGAACTGGGTTCAGTTCGAATGACGCTCAAGAAGTTTCATGTTTTACGCAGCTCTGCAAATCTTTGAGACTGGTAGCCATTAAACTTGAGACAGTTTTGTTTGCACTAATGTACAGTTATGCACTCGGAAAAGGCAAGCTCTTTTCTACTGTTTGTAAGCCTTGAGACAGTAGTTTTACAATCATGCTATTCTTACACCTGCTATTTTATACTTAAAATGGCCACATATTTTCAAGATATTTTTGTTATGCTCAGGAACCTCTTGTATATTTTACTATTTAAAAAGCATTATTTTTAAATAGCATATGTCTCCAATTTCTATCAACAAGAAGGAAATGTAACTGGGGAGGCAGCTTGTTTCTAAAGAAATAGTGTTATCCTTTTACACTGAACTTTGCACACTGGTTTTATAAACTTGTTCTACATTGTAAATACGATTCATTTTTAAAGTAAATGCTTAGCAGCTTCCATAAGGGTAGACTAACATGCTAGATATTTAAAATATTATAGTATAGTTCATATTTAGCTTCTGTAGAAGTTTTGAAGAAATGATAACACAATTCCTATGTGAAACACATGCCTTGATGTGAACAGTAGAGTAACTGGGCCGGCAAGAAGACTCAGCAGGGAGAAGCGCTTGCCGCCAAGCCGGAACACCAGTTTGAGGTGCAGGACCCACATGTTAGAAAGAGAGACATGACTCCCCCAAGTTGTCTCTGACCTCTACGTACATACTGTGGTGCGTTCACATCCTTTCCCACCCCAGTAACTAAATGGTAAAAAAAATGAGTAGTCCTTGAGTGCTGGAGAGTTTAGAAACTACGTGAGTATCACTTACTTCTCTAAAATCCTTTTGTTTGTGAGGAAAGAAAATGATTAGAGGTGGGTAGTGGCAGGCAGGGCGCTGGAGTGTTCTGCCTGTCATCCATGCTTTACGTTGTGGCACACCTTGGACTGTTTCCAGGGTAGCTCCAGTTTCCATTAAGCATAAAGCTTTAGCTTCCAGAGTCATCGTCGAAACATTTTCACCCCCTTAACCTTACCTGACTCACTACCCCACCCTTGCCAAAGAGGAACATACTTGTATAGTAGCTGCTGTAAGAAGCGTTGGTCTGCGCTCAGAGCACTCTACTCTGCCTGATAATGGGCAGGGGTGTGTCCAGATAGAGCTGGTGTGCTTCCCAGGGCCTTGCAGCAGACTGTAGCCCATCACCTGGTAGCATTCCCTAACTCTCTCTAAGAGCACTGTGTGGGCAGGAGAAGCTGTTCTGATCTAGGAGCACCAAGTATCCTGTCTGTGTTGGGACTGTTGGTGATGTCTGGGCTGTTCACCCACTCACTTTCTGGTGACCAGTCCGAACCCAGCACCCACGTGTTGGTGCTCAGAATCTGCCAACAGACTCATCTGAGCTCTCACAGTTGATTTCCAGGGCCAGGGCTCAGGCTCTTGATTGTGGTTTGCCTCTGAGTTCTTTCTCCATGATGCGTACTTACAATGAACCAAGGCTTCCTAGCAACTCCATTGCAGCGAATATGTCTGAGCAGGATTTCAGGTGGTTTTTGAGCATTTTCTCACCAAAGCTTCACCTGGCAATAGGCCTATGCCCTGTTCAACTTGAGACTCTCAGGCAGGAGGGGACCCTTGGGATAATACCTAATCTTTGAGTTCATCTTCAGTAACCAGTGAAGACTTACTTCATCAGGATTTCTTACCATTAGAAGCAAGTGCCTTTATTCTTCATTTTTCTTTCAGCCTTTTAAAATTTATGTTACAGTAAAAAAAAAAAAGGTTCACTTTAAGCAAGCTCCTGTATAGCTTGTGACTAGAGCTTATAAAGGGATAGTCTATTTTTTAATATGTCCTTCCATGTGACATGCAGAGCTAACAAGCTGAGAGTACTGTACACGCGGTGCTTGCCTCGTGTGTGAGGGCACGTGCCCTGGCACTGACAAACAAGACTGCCTGAAGAAGCTAACAGTGCTCTTGAGTGTATCTCATTGTTCCCTCCTTTCATTGTGTAGTCAACTGCATTCTTAAGAAGAAATTGCCACTAGCTTTATCTTGCCAAGGAGTTATCTTCTTAGGTGCCTATAATTGGCTTATTCCAAAAAAGGCATTAAGTGCCATCAAAACATCTTCTGCGCTTCTCAGAAAGCATATGCTTTGGTTTTTGAAGTGTGTAATAGATTTAAACTATCAATTACTTATTTGAAAAAGAAATTTTATTCTTTTCTTCTTCATAGCTATGAAGAAAAGACACCAAGGAAAATTCTTGCAGCTGCCTCTCCCCTGAGTAATGCATATCTTATGAACACTCAACTAAAAAGCAACTCAGCCTAAAAGTGGGCAGGGTAGCAGTCTTAAAGAGCATCTGTTACCCAAGAGAGGCAAACTGTTTCAGTGCTGGGATGTACTGCAGCTAGTATTAAGGAAAAAAAAAAATCTCAGTGAGCCTGCAGCTTCTGGGAAGTGCCTTTTAACATGTACATAGAAAGTAAACTTTCCAGCTGTGGAGCTCTCCCCTCCCTTCTCACAGAGCCAGTCCACAGAAGCTATAAGGGATGGCTCCAGGCAAAGAAGCGTTAGCTATAGCTAAAGCACTGCTGATAGAGAAGGGAGGTTTGGAGCCAGGCAGACCCGGCCACACCCTGGCTCAGGCCTGCTTTCCTCAGTGTAAAGACCAAAGGATAGGAGATTCCTTTCAGTACAGATAGGCCAGTGTGAAGTAAGTGCACCAGACGGCATGACTCCGATGAATCAGTTACTGGGATGTTGAGATTGTGATTTTCTATTTATTTATTTTTGTGCACTGGTGTTTTGCCTGCATATATTACCTGTATGAGGGTGTCAGATCCCCTGGAACTGGAGTTACAGGCACGTGTGGGCTGCCACGTGGGTGCTGGGACTTGAACCCAGGTCCTCTGGAAGAGTAGCCAGTGCTCTCAACCACTAATCTATCTTTCTGGTCCCATTTTTTTTTTTTTAGAAGGCATACTAGGGACTTGCACATGCTAGACAACTCATCACTGAACTATATTTTCAACCCAGTGATTTCTTTTTACAATTGATGACTTTGTACAATTGCTACATTGGGTTGTCATTTGTATTAGGTGGTCTATGTTGTCTTTGCTCTTTGATAAAATCAAGGGTTTTCTTGGATTTTAAATGAATTTCCTTGGTATGTTATTTATTGGCTGACTGAAAATTATAAAAAGTTAAACCATCAAATGTAAATTCAGAAAGCATTTTTTTTTCAGAAAGCATTTTGATCTCTTAATGGATGAATGGGATTTATTGAGTATAAATATTGGCTTCTTTCTATTATAGTTTCTTGTTGACTTAACTAAAGTAACTTTTCCTTCAAAAGTTCCATGATTAGACCTGTAAAGGCCATGGACCACCTGCAAGAGGTGCCTGCCACTGAGTGTTAGACATATATATGGACTTATAACCATGACTGGTGTTACCCTTTTAACCCAGAAAAGCCGGGTGCTTTGCCAGATGCTACTTGTCTTTTGAACCCTGTACTCCAATATGTAGTAAACCCATACATCCTCATCACATGTCCCAAGAACAGGTTTCACTAATTTTAAACATGTAACTTTATGCTGCAAGTCTTTTTTTTTTTTTTTTTAAAGATTTCTTTATTTTATGGATATGAGTACACCATTGCTTTCTCCAGACACACCAGAAGAAGGCATCAGACTCCATTACAGATGGTTGTGAGCCACCATGTGGTTGCTGGGAATTGAACTCAGGACCTCTGCAAGAGCAGTCAGTGCTCTTAACCACTGAGCCATCTCTCCAGCCCTGCAAGTCTTTAAGAACCATAAAAAAGTGAGTGACAGGCAGGGACCTTTGGAAGTCACATTCATCATTGGATCATGTACACTTTTATATGTTGCAAATCTGATTAAACTCCTGATACTGCACAGATTTTTGCCAGAAATTGTTTCCTGCCCTGCCAAGAGCAATATGGAAGTTTCATACCTTGTTAAACTCCTCCAGTGCTCTTAGGACCTCATTAAAAGCTTCCCCCCCCCAAATCTGGTTTGCCCTTTATTTCACAAGAGACCTCAGATACATGAGGAACTAAGCCATAACTTTGCATCTGCTGGTCATTACCCACCATGCCTTCACTGTGACTACAGATTTCAAAGATAATTCTGTTTTACTTACATTGTACACTTGAACTGTAACATTGACCCATAATGTGAAAACCAGTTATTGCTTCATATAGTGTTGCTGATGGTCGGACAAGTGCTTGTTGTAGTGTTTTTTTTTTGTTTTTGTTTTTGTTTTTGTTTGAGACAGGGTTTCTCTGTGTAGTCCTGGCTGTCCTGGAACTCACTCTGTAGACCAGGGTGGCCTCGAACTCAGAAATCCGCCTGTCTCTGCCTCCCAAGTGCTGGGATTAAAGGCGTGCGCCACCACCGCCCGGCTGTTGTGGTGTTTTTTAAAAAAATCTGGTCAAATACTGGAGTAATGAAGTTGTAAGCTCCATGAGAGCAGGGACCATACCATCTTCCATCTTGCATTTAGGCACTCAATAAATATTTGTGGATATGAACTTTTGTGGTATCTGTGACTTTATTCATACTGTCTGTGAGAGCTGGATTTTAATGATGGCTTTCAAGTCCCAGGAGCCGCATGGTTTGGTTAACAGTCATGAGAATACTAAAATTAATACAGGAAGTAAATTCCAAGCAACCAGTAGCATAGAGCCTCAACCTAGAGGTGTGTGTTTGTCTTTATATCAGTGTTTCTAAATGCACCTTAGGGCACCTTTTGGTGACTTCACAGTCGGCGTATTTAATGAATATCTTCACTTGTCTGGGTGTGGACAAACATCACATTCTGTAAAGTGCCTCTCCTAGCGTTTGCAGTCTCCACTGTGCCCGAGGACATGAACACCTGGTGTGGTTCTCCACTCCCTGGCTTTGTCTGGATACTGTCTTGGGGGGCAGTGTACAGTGACAAAGCTGGCTTGTCTCTCTTGTCCTTATGGTAATCATCACTAGGTGTTAGATTTGCTCATCTTAGTTCCATGACTTCAAGTTTTAACAACCAGGGCTGGCATTGTGCAATCCACAAAAAACCCCTTAGTCTCTTGGTCTTTTAATGTGGCAACCGGAGCGTCCTATGGGAGAGGAGCATCAAGACCCAAGATGAAGCTTTTTTTCTGGACCTGATCCTGCTCTCTGGGAGGTGGGGACCTGAGCTGCACACCCTGTCAGGCAGCCACTACTCCCTCTGCTGATGGCCAAGAGGCGGATTTTTTTTTTTTTTTTTTTTTTTACTTTTTCCCGCCCGGTGTCTTGTGCAAAGGACTCGACGGCAGTAGGCGAAGACCTCGGGTTTCCACCCGGACCCAGCGCGGGGCCTGCCCCAGTGTTCCCAGCGCACTGTGGCTTTCGCCACTCCTTGTTCCCTAAGTGTGTCGTCTGTCTCCTGAGGAGTTTAATCAAAAGCAACCTCCCCCCGAAGCCGCCAGCTCCCGGGTCCCTTCCCCGAGCGCGGTCGCCCCTCGCCCTCCCGCACGCGGGCTCGGCGGTGCGGGGCCAGAGTCGGAGCGGCTCTTCCGGCGCAGGCGGCGGCCCGGCTCCTCCGCGACGCGCCCCCGCCGCTCCCCCGCGCGGCCTGAGGAGGCGCCGCCCGCCGCCGCCGCCGCCGCCGCGACTGAGGGAAT